TTTTATAGCTTAACAATACAAACAAACAAATCAAATTATTAACTATTTGCATGTAAAAAATCAATTTAAATTTTTAGTACAATGTTTTTTTAAAAAAAAGTGCAAGTTTTTTTTATTAATATAATAAATAATTATTAATTTGCTGATAATGAAAACATAATTTGCTAAATTATATCACAAATTTCATAGATCCCTAGTAAACCCTTAGAGGTGAGTAATACAGATTATGTACACACATATCGATCTATAATTACTACTGTACAGTACATATAGAGTGTGCTTAAGGCTACAAAGAAATTTTATTCTTTGTCTATAACATATATACTTACCTACCTGTGTAGCTTCACTAGGTAGTAATACATTCGACAAAAAATCAAGAAACTAGACAAATAAGTCTGGTGTACAAATGTAGATTAGAGGAACCTGCTGGCTAAAAAAAAAAAGCAAAAAAAAAAAAAAAAAAAAATTACCAGTAGGTAAAATAAATAAGAAACGTTTTATTATAATTAAAAGAGAAACAAAGGTAATTTTTTTTTTTTAGATTGTAAAGTTGTGTAGATATTGCATGATATATACTAAATCCCATAACTAAACAAGGCATATATGCGCTATTTAATTACCTGTAAGTATTTAAAATTGTATAAAACTAAAAATTTATATTAATTAAGTGATGTTGGCAATTTGAATTATTCTAATTAATATTAATTTTTTTTTTTTAAATACGCAATAGGTTCAGATAGAAAATGAACTATGGTATGCTAATGCACTAAAGAAACTATAATTCTAAATTAAATTTACTAATACTTATCTATTAGAAACGTAAAGCATTTATTCTGTAGTTAGTGAAAGTGAAAGACCTAAAGCAACCATGATAAATGAAAGCTCCGAAATTACTACTATTAATAAAGATTGCGAATCAGCTGTCAGTAGTAAAAAATATAGAACAAACAAATCATAGGTTTTTAAAGAACATTACTTTATTAGATATGATCCTAATAAGAGTAAAAATACTTTTTTGCAATGTTATAATTGTTATCAGTTATTATGTTACTAGTTAATAGTTATTCCATATAATTTCACTAGAGGATTCTGTTCAATATACATATTGTAAAAGCATTTTGAAGCATGATAATAAGACGAGAACTAGTTCTTTAATCTGACATATGAAAAATACAAAATGTAAGAAATACTTAAAGGTCGACAATTCATAATAAACACTACAAGTGTCTAAATCAGGCCTTGTTCCCTACAAATTCTTCCAAAAAAGAAGTTGTCAGGATATGATGGAAATGATTATTAGGCATTTATATCTATTTCGTATAGTCAAATATGAAGGTTTTTTAAAGTTTGTTAAAAACTTGCAACCACAATATAAAATGGTAAGCGAAATAACGGCACGTGAAGATTGTATGAAAATTGTTGGTAATCTTAAAGAAAAAGTTCGTATGAAAGTACAAGAGGCACCTGGAAATATTAGTCATACGACAGATTTATGGACGTCAGTTTAGACCCTTGGGTATATAGTTATAACAAGTCATTTTATTGATAAAAACTAGAAATTTAATAAATTAGTTTTGGGTTTCAAATTGGTTCCTGCACCACATACAGAAATTATTATTAGTAAAATGCTCTTAAATTGTTTTAATGAGTGGAATATTGCATCAAAAACGTTAGCAATTACTATGGACAACGCAACTAGCAATGATGCCATGATAACAAATCTAAAGTGCAAGCTTGAGAGGCAAAACATGCTTATCAGCAAAAGAAATTTATTGCATCAACAGTACTGTGCTCATATATTGAATCTTGTAGTTAATAATGGTCTTAAAATAGTTAGAAATGTTATATGCAAAATCCGAGAATGTGTTAAGTGGATTTATAGTTCACAATCATGGCAATAGAACTTTGAGAATGCTGTAATTAGATGTTGTCCTGAGCTCGTGTCTAGCTTACGACTAACTCTTGACGTATCTACTTGTTGGAATTCTGTATATCTTATGCTATTATTATCTATTTTATATAAAAATATTTTTGAGCACCTTGTATTACAAGACAACAATTTTGGTCTAATTATACCCTTTGATGATGATTGGGATATAGCTAAAAATATTTGTAATTTTTTGAAGCTATTCTACGAAGGTAATTCAGATATTAATAACCTGTCTTTTTTAATATAGAACTAGTGGTCTGGACCATGGATTTTATTTTAAAAAAGACAAATTGGTTAAGACTATTAACTCTCTTAAAGTAATTAAGAATTCATTATACAATCTTTCATATCAATCCTATATATTTTGTTCTATATTAAAATATTTTTTTTAAGATCTATTTATCTAAGATATACTAATTGGGTATTAATTTTAATATAGTCACGAATGTTATTTCAGAAAGTAAATATTTGACAGCAAATATTTTTCTTCCTTATTTGGTAACAATTAAGATGCATATTGAACGAAATATTACTAATGCAAATCCTATTATTTGTCAAATGGCCATGCCAATGCAACTAAAATTTGATAAATATTGAGCAGACATGGGAGAAATGTACTGCATTGCGTCGATTTTGGATCCTCGCTATAAGATGTCGTTACTTACTCATATATACAAACAGAAAATACACCTATCATCTGCTAAAGCAGAAGACAAGCTAAACGATATTAAAATAAGAAAAGTTATTTATAAATTTTACCTTTTTTTTAAAAAAAAAAAAAAAAAAAGAACGCTATTTTTGCTAAATTAAAACTATTCCCTATCTTGTAGAGCTGCAATGATTTATAAATTGACATATGTGCAAAATACAATTTCTTCTAATAGTGATAGCGATTTCTCTGATCTTTTTTTATAAGATAATGAATTTATACAGGGCTATGACTGTTTTCTTAAAGATAATCAAGTTTATGCCACAAATAATAAGGATGAATTTGAGCAATATTTAAGTGATCTGATTGTTCCCTATCCTAGTTCTGGTATATTTGATATTCTAGTGTGGTGGAAGGAAAATGAATTAAAGTATCTTTCTGTATCATCGATGGCAAGAGATATTTTTGCTATCCCAATAACCTCTGTGGCCTCTGAATCAGTAAGTAAGATTTCAATCAAATATTAACTTACTGATATAAACTATTTTTTTTTTGGCAATTTTAAAATTTGGCTAATGCTGAAGCTAAGGCTACACAAGGTTAATTTCTTGGTTTACATAACCCAGTCAGGTCAAAATTTATAGATCTTTGAAAAAAAATTTCTTATGTAATTTATTATAAAATCTCTGGGTCAGTTTTTTTAAAAAAATTTTAAAAAATTTCAGATGTTTTTATATTTTTCTCTAAAAAAAATCATATGAAATTTTTTATAATTTAAAATAAAAAGTCAGGTTGCCAGGTTACTTTTAAAATTTTATGTTATAAAAACCAAGAAATTAACTTTGTATAGCCTAACCACTTAATTAGTAGAAAATTTAATTTTTTTTGGTTAGTTTTAGCATTGGTCAAGTTTTGCATTAATCGTGTCATTGTTTGTTCAAATATTTAGCATCGCAAGTAGGATTATTAATGATAAACATTCGAATCTTATTTCAGAAACTATTGAAATACTAGTATGTGACCAAGACTGGCTAAGGAACAAGGCTGGGAAAAATTCAGTCTGACGATTTACCAGAAATAGACAATGCAGATTATTCCTTTTTTGGTAATAAAATACAGATCTGAATATTCTAGAAATACAACGTAAGAACCATTACAATATCATACCAAGCGTACCTCGCACGAGATAAAACAAGCATATATTCTACAAATCGTATATATCATATAACTTTGTGCAAAATAGCCTCATCCAAGGCCAAATTTGAGTTCAGCGAATTATGGATTTTGGTGATTGCTCTAATACTGTAATATTTTTTTTATATTCAGTATTTATAAATTACTAACTGTTAAGATTTTCTTTACTTCGCACAAGGTATGAGGTCATATGATGCAATTTGCGTGTAATATCATTCGTAATACCAAGCATTATTATACTTCGACTTTTCTTTTTTTTTAAAAAAAAAAAAAAAAGAAAAAAAAGGATCAAATTCCGAATTTTAAAAGTTTTTTATAATTTGATCCTTAAAACTTTGTCCGGTTCTAAAAAAAATAATTTTGAGTTTTTAAAAACATCCTTTATATAATTTATATTTATAGTTTATTAAATTAATAATTCATTTAAATTTATAAGTTTAAAAAGTTTTATGATATGTAAATTAAATTACAGTAAGCTTGCAATTTATGGAATAACCCAAGATATAAACAAATAAATTCTTGGCGTTTCAGTATGCTGATAAAGGATTCTATAAATATTTAAGAAAAAATTTTAGTAATCTTACTTAGCAGGCTAAATTGCAATTACTTGTAGATATTCCACATGAGTTATATTATATTCACGATTATGCAGGATATATTCATGCTGACTTTCACAGTAATAATATTTTACAAAACAAATAAAAAAAATATGCAATCTTATACTGCGAATCTATGATTGTTTAAAAAGAAAAAAGAGTGGTTCGGAAGGTAAAATTTATGGTGTCATGCCTTATGTCGCTCCTGAAGCTGATATTTATGGCTTTGGAGTTATCATTGCTGAAATATCAACTAAACAGAGACCTTTTTCAGGTACAATTTTGATACTAAACTTCCAATAGAGATTATCTATAGGTTACAGCCTAAGTTTGCTCCTGAGACTCCTAATTGCTATGTTGAATTGGTATTGCAATGTATTCCTTTTTTGCTAAGGAATGATGGCGATTTGTAAATACTTATATAATTTGGCGTTGGCATGGTTAGATTAAAAGGCAACGCCTTATGTAAATTATGCAATTTTACTTTATATTTATTTTAATGAATAAAAAATAATAATAATACAAAGTTATAAAACTGCGAGAGTTTGATCCTTCCATTCTCAATAAAAATTTTTAATCAAATTTTGCACACTTTAAACCCGTAAATTGATCGATATATAATTTATTATTTTTACAAAGTATTATATTCCTGAATTTCTAAATCATTCTGATTATTAACTTCATTAACAATAAATGAACGCCTTACTTCCTGTAATATATCCAATAATTCACCTTTTTTTTTTGACTTTAAGCCTGAATATCTCTTCTGAAAGGTTTCATCAAGCTGTTCAAGAAAGATTTCTACCTTTAGTAAAATTTCGGCTTTGGTCATATTTTTTTCACTTTCTACCATTTTCGCTTCTTGATTCGTGATCAGTATTGGCCTAAATGAAGGAGAATTATTTCCATTAATAAATACTTCAGTAATAAAATCCTGTCGTGCCTTTTTTGCTAACGATATAAAATTTTTTAAATGCTCATTCAAATCATATTCTTCTAGGCCTTGATTTACAAAATCAAGGCTTCGCAGCTGAATCCTAAATCGTCGGCATTCCAATGTTAATTCTGGTCGAGTTCTTGGCCCAAACGTCTGACGATCGTTATATCTGATTACTTTGAATAAATTACTTTGAAGCTAAAATTTAATATTAATTAATAAACACAATCATATGTATAGCTATTAAATTCAACTAAAAATCAAATATATTACAAATATATTACCTCGATGAACTTTTTGCAATTGCGTGCAGCAATTGTCCAGTGATAATGTTGCAGAACAGGAGGTATTAAAGTTTTTAAAGTCTTGTTTACCTCCTCTAAGATTGCGTCCAACCCTTAGTGTTGTTCATAGATACCCGACCTAGAAACAACACTATTTTTTTCTATTATATCACGAATTTCTAGGCGAAGTTGCATTAACTGAACTTTGTCAGTAGCTTCTATTAAGCGGTAGATAGGATGACACCTTGCTGACCAAATAGGCGAAAAAAATTTTCTGGCTGCTTTCTTTAAAAGAGGATTGTTAGTCCTTATAGCTTTCCGATAATTGATTATGACTTGAAGATAAACGAATGTCTATTATAATAATAATAATAATAATTAGTAACAAAACTTATATATATAAAAAGGTTGATAGTAACCTGTTCATATTTGATCTGATAAAGTGAATCTTTCTGTTCTTTAACCCAAGCAAGATATCCTTCAACTGACAAGTTCGAATGACTCTTTACGTACGGCCACACAAGTTCTATAAAAATTGCCTGATGATAAATATTACAGATAGAATCCCAAGACTTATAATGGTCTACACATTTTTTGAAAAAGGCAAGTTGGTTTTCTGTTCGATAACCTTGACATTTTGCGAATCATTTTATGTCGACTTCCCTAATAATAACAACAATAATAAAAATTTTTAATATAAATTATGCTCTTCTGGCATTCTCCAGATATACTTCTCACTTAACATACTAAATAAAAAACAGCTTACCAATTTAACTCCACGAACGCTCGAAGCATGTTCATTTCTTCGTGTAGTTGCCCTGGGATAAGAATCAACCAGGGAAACTTTTCTTTAAGCTTAATAGTATAATAATACAAGACACCGTCACAGACTACTGCCACCCATTTACGAATTCCATCTCTAATACCTGATATTACTTCTATGTGTAAAAGGACTTTTTCAACATTTGCAATTGAATTGGGGTTAATATTAATCAGATCGGGAACATAAATCTTGGGGACGTTAACTCTTGGATCAGCAGTTTGCTGGGTAAGACTGATCTTGGAAACATATGTAACACTTGGCTCGTTGCTAGCCCTATACGGTCTAAAAACAAGTGGATATGCTAATTTATCAGTTATTTTATCTTCAATTATTTTCTCTTTTTGCATTTCAGCTAATGTTGGCAACCGTGTTCTGCATTTTGGGCATATTCTTTTCTGATTCTCAATATTTTGTTAATTACACATAGGACACAGTTTCATTCTTGTAATATTTGTTCCTATGGATGCAATAAGAGAATCGATATTATCAGTAGAGGACAACTTTTCTTCAGACAATATATTAAGAATATCAGTAAGATACGAATATAATTCTTCATTGATAACTTTTTACATTTGAGGATTGACATCAAAAAGTTCTTCATATTGTAATCTACCACATGTCCAAGGCAAATTAATGTGTTGAATTTTGTTCTGTAGCACTATATTAAAACTGACTAAGCTGGTAATGACGTGGTATACAACCGTATTGAATCCCTGGTCAAGGTAATTTCTCTGTCCCCTCTGCTCGTTATCAAACGCTAGAAATAATAGGCCTTCAGGTAGTGGTTCTTCATGTTGCGATAATTCTTCTATCCACTTCTGGAACTGATATTCACTTCCTGAATTCGTAATATGATTATCGATGTTAATAATTATTCGTGATCTCGCAATTAAATACTTAATTGCCGATAAAGCAAGCTGAATTTCTGATACATATTTTCCGTGACATGCTCTACATATTAGATCAATAGTAGTAGCGGTTTTGAAAAGCTTTTTTTGGCTCAAAATATCACTGTCTTGATTCTGAACGAGAGTCTCAATAAATTTGACAATAACCTGGTTACGTCTACTAAGCTATTCGCGTGAATTATATATCATAATATTTTTTATAGAAAATCTAGTATTGTCATGAATTAACGATTCTATATCACTAAATAATGACGCGCGTTTTGATTATGGTGTTTAAAGATGAAATTTAGGGTTAGATTTTGGAATATAGATATTAGAAATTTAGAATTAATAAATAAAAAATTAGACAAAAAAGTATTTCTAACATTAAAAATAGGAAATATATATTTAAGGATACGTATCACTTCATGACACCTATTTCATAGACATAAATTTCACCTACTATAGTACTATCAGGGACATGCAAAATCTGTCATATAATTTAATAAATTCTGTTTTTGATAACAATAAATTATGTGATTAACTGTTGATTAAAATTAAAGTACTGATTTAATTACATAATATCTAAAATTTTATCTCGTAAAAACAAAAAACTTTAATTTTTTAAAAAGTGAGTCACACTAAATTATTTTTTTTCGAGAAATGTAAAATTTTTTTGAACAAACGCTATTAAAATATAGGATTTTATTCTATTTTTATATCATAAACAAAATATTACAATAATTTTCCATACTATTACAGTGTTATCGATATAGCTATTAATACTACATTATGTAATCGATGTTTTTCTGTGATTTACTGTGATTTACTTCGATCACAGCAAATCACAAACTTCGCATATTCCTGCCTACAATCAATTCCCGACATGACTTTTCACAGACAACTAATTCCTAGACAAGCTCAGTTCGTAGACAACTCATTTTACCGACAGCTCATTTTACCAACAAGTTTATTTCTTATAAATTCCTCTAACCCTAATCCTAAAACTCTAATGATAATAATGTTGGTGAAATGAGCTGTCAGTGAAATAAGTTGTCTACGAAATGAGCTTGTCTAGGAATTGACTGTCTGTAAAATAAACATGTCAGTGAATTGATTGTTATGTCTATTGAAATAAATGTCAATGAAGTGAACAGAACTGTATATTTAACCTTACCTGTTTTTGCTATTTCAATAACTGCATCGATGTGTTTTTGTTGAGTAGAAAATCTCAAGTTCCATTGTTTAATAAGAGCCTCATTGTGCTTACTTTTTTCATCATATAAGTTTCGAACTTCAATTATACTGTCATGAGCTCTTTGTAATTTGCTTTTTAATGTTTCTATCTCATTTTTTTGCTCTTCTATATATAACTGCATTCGTCCAATTCGATTTTCGAGGTCTGTTATTAATTGCGATTTCTGCTGAACTTCTGTTTGAATGAACTCTAAATGTTTCATAGCCTTGCCAAACTTAGCTGTTAGAACGGTATAGCTATCGGTTAGATTATCTTGATTAGCATCAAGCTGGGTCCTTTTACTTTCTTCAGCTAAACCTTCAAGAATATTATATAAATTGTTAGTAACAATAATTTGATTATAGTGTCGTTCACAAACAGAATAAGAATCTAAAGAGGAATGAAGTTCAGTAAGCTCAAGAAAATGAGTATAGTAAAGTAAAAGTTTCTTAGCTGCCTCTTGAGTGTCGGTATGTCGGCATCTCTAAGATTCCTTCATTTCACAAGGTTTCAAGCCAAATTCACTGTACTTTTCAACTAAATCAGCGAAAAGACATAGAAAATCTTGCGCTCTTAGTTTCTGGAAAGCTGCCACTAAACAAGAGTATTTAAAGTATATATTTCGTTAGCAAGTTTACATTTGTAATTGTCAGTTTGCACAAATGAAGATCCTTGAATTTCGAGTCTCATTTACTTTTTTGACGAGAGTTAACTTGGGTGGATTATTGTGGATTATTAAAACTTAGTATATTATACTGTCTATTCGTACGTCTTTTCAGAGTTCTAATAAAAATTGAATATCGTTACAAATATGGTGATAAAAGTCACGACGATGAAGTGTGCAATAGCCAATCAAATCTAAGAATATGCACATGGATTGTTCTAGTACGCGATTTCCTAATTTAGTAAATCGTTAGACTGAAATTAAGGGATGATGTATAATATGATTAAAGCTGGCAGTTATTTTTATGTAAGGCTTTTTTGATGTAAAATATTAGGGACTAAATTATAATATTAGCTGATCAGTATAATTCTCTAAAAAAAAAAAAATAGGCGAAACTTCCAAATTTTTTATCACCAAGATAGGATACGGATTGAAAAAAAAAAATAAAAAAAAAAAAAATAAAAAAAAATAAAATAAAAAAAAAAAAATAAAAAATAAAAAATAAAAAAAAAAAAATAAAAAAATAAAAAAAAAAATCGCAAATTTAATTGTCTGGAACACATTTCACTGATAATCGAAT